CCATGGAGTTAATTCCCTTTCCAAACCTTCAAGATACTCGAGATCCTCCAGATCTAACTCATCCAATGGTAACATCATGACTCTTTTTTTTTGACTCTTTCGAATGAAATTCGAACCAAACCGAGAATATATATATATATATATTTTTTTTTTGACTCTAGAAAAATATCAAAGGACTAACAAGATGACATTTTTTTTTTACTCAAATTCGAAAATAATAGGGAAAAATTCGAAAAAATCGAACCCCCCAACAAAACAAAAAAATCGACCCAAAAAAAGAAAAGAAATTCGGCCCCTCAGCAAAAGGCAAACCGAAAAAAAGAAAAAAATACGATAGACAAAAATACGATCAGCACCTCTCAATGAAAGAACCAATGATGACGGATCGAATTTTTGTCTACACTTGGGTTGTGAATAAACGCGCACTCAGGGCCTTCGGTTATCCATGATAGGTGTATCTAACAGACGCACTCAGGGCCTTCTCCTAGACACTGTGACTTCAAGACGCACTAGTGGCCTTCTCTCCGACACTGTATGTAAACACGCACTAACGGCCTTGTTTAAACACACGTAAAAACATAAGTTCCCCCTTTATGAGATTCACTCATCAATTCCAAGACTCAACATGTTTATTAATGAAGAGGTACATGGGTATTTATAGGAAGAAACTAAATCTAATTCTAGTCTAACTAGATCTCTATTCCATGCAGTAAATAAATCCTAATGCTAATAAATCTCTATTAAAAGCAACATGGAAATAAAATCCTACTACTACCAAATAACTAATTGATTGTCTTGACTTGCACTCCAATCCAAAGTCTTGGACTCCAAGTCAATCGCCCAAGTCTTCGACCGCCTCACGCCGTGTCCAGCTCGCGCGAATCATCCATGCGCCGCTTCTCACGCTCGCCTAGTCCTTCGGCAATTAGGTCTCGCACGCACCCCTCACACACGCACGCTGTCGCGCGCACGTTGCTCGTGCCGTCCGTCTCGCGCGCGTACCCGCCATCGCCTAGTATTCCTACGCCCGCTAGGTCACGGTCTTCTCCCGCTCGCACACCGCCTGCGTACGTGATGCCTGCCAGGCCTACCTTCCCAGTTTAGGCCTCCGTCCGTGTCGCCCCACGCGTTGCTGCCTGCGAGCCCCGCGTCATTGCTGACCTTTTCACACGCGTGCGCCCCCGTCATTCCTAGGCCTGCCAGGCCTAGGCTGCTGCCCGCGTGAACTCCATTCGCGTACCTCGTGCTCCCCGTGTCTCCGCTGTTCGAGGCCCGCGCGTACCGGCTACTGGCCGCGTTCAGATCGTCTACTCCGCATCCCCGTGCACCTGCCGTGTTGCGCGTATTGTCGACATCTACGGCCTGCTTATCTACCATGCACTCATCGCCTGAATACCTCTTGTTCGATCCCTCGACCACCCATGTCTCGCGTTCCTCGTCCCTCGCACCAATCGTCCGTTCATCCTTCGCATGATCACCCGACCACTCGTGCGCAACAAGGCACGATGCGCGTCCTTTACTCGGGCTTGGCTCTTTGCCGCCGTTCGACCCCAAATGCTTGTCGATCTCCTCCGAACACTCGCCCGATGGCCATGGGTCCCAACATTTCAACCTCACACAATCTTCCGCCGGTATCCACCACCCATCTTCAACCTACCGCAAACCACGCCTTCTAGCCTCTTTCCTTTGGGCTCGTCTCTTCCTTGTACAAGGCTTACACCAACAACGTCCTTTTCTAACCTTCGCCTTGCGTTTCTTTCGTGCTTGCTTGGCCTTGCGCTTCTTAGACTTCACCTTTAACTTCGGACCACATCCTTTTGGCTAATCTTTATGCATGAAGGTCGATAAATAGGACTAGATGGCTCCTCTAGCATATTTTCCAGCCAAATATCGAGATCATTACCATCTTCATCCTCCGACTCACCTGGGTTGATGACCACTTCCGTATCACAGTCAGCCAGCGCGGGCAGACAGCGTGCGTGCATGCCCACGGGGCATTGCACACAGTCCTGCCCACAGCAGCAGTCCGCTGGTAGTGCAGGAGCACGCCAGCAGTCCCACATGCACGCCTGTTTACGCGCTCATGCGTCAGTTGCCTGCTGCGGCGCGCGGTAGCGCCCAGCAGCGCCAGTCGCGCAAGGCCAGCGCCCAGCCCGATGCCTGCGATACGCCAGGTGCACGCACGCATTCCAGGAAACGTGCGGTTATGCCCAGTCGCACGCCAATTGCGCCAGTCAGAGTCATGCCATGCCAGAGGCACGCCAGCGCCCGATAGCGCGTATATCCGTGCCCAGTGCTGCACCTCAAGCCTTGCAGCAGCCATGCCACGCCCAGCCGCCAGTGCCCGCGGCCAGTCCAGGCAGCGCTCGCGCATGCGGCCTTGGCAGGCCCGTTGGCCGAGCCAGTGGTCGACTGCCCGGCCACGGCAGGTCGGCAGTCCGACCAGACCGGTTCAGATTCGGTTCAGTCAGTTTAGACCGGTTTGGACCGGTTCAACCCATAAGTTAATGTTTAAATCCCGGTTCATGTTTTAAATTACATTTTCAGTTAAATTCCATGTCCGGCTCAGTTCAGTAAATTCATGTTCGACCAGTTCATGTCAAATCAGTTCCGATTATACCGATTAAATCCAAATATCATGTCAAGTTCAGTAGAGCATCTTAACGTATTAAACAGTTAAATTTTTATCAGTCTGAGCATAGTATTTAGTAATTCTTTATATTATGTTTCAGTTTGATCAAGATACGAATATCAGCACTGCCTTTTCATTTTTGACGGATCAGGTGGGGACTCAGACTGGGTATTACATTGATTATAATTACTCTACCATGTTTGAGGTATGTATTTCATGTCATGTATCCGCTCGGAATGGTCGCCGGTCCATTCTGGAATCTAGTGGCCCTAGTCTTCCCACTAGAGTGTGCACATGGTGTTCGACATTTTTATGCTGGCAGATGAGGTAACGGTCATGGTTCATGTGATGATTATCAGTTCATGTTTATTCAGTACCGGTTTCATCTTCAGGTTATGTATATACCAGGATCATGATATTGCAATTATTTTCACTGTTTACTTCAGTATGAGTTTCTGTGGAGCACAGTGGCTTTAGTGCTCACGCCCCGCATTATTCATGTTTTTCAGGTCGCATGGTCGGAGCTGAGGAGTGAGCGGGCGGTTGGTTCAGAAGTTCTGTAAATATGTTTAATCATGTTTTGGCTACACTATGTTTTCCGCTAACTATTACTGTTTGCCAAACTCAGCTTTTGATCTGATTTATAATCGGTGATTATATTATGTTAAACCGTTTTGTTTTCTTTAAATATCGGTTTTCAGGTAAAGTCATGTTTTACGGTAACACTCCGAATTAGTATTTCGCAACTTAAATGTTTTTATTTTGAAAAACTTAGCGAAAAAGCATACTCCGATTTTCATGAAATAGCGGGGTGTTACACACATTGGTGGAGAATTTAGCAGTTTAATCACATGCAAAGCTTTTTGGTGATTAGCTTTTTGGTGATTACCGTTCACAGTTTATACTCATGCGGGTCCGGAGTTCTTTTTTTTTTTTTTAATATATACAAAGTGCAACTAAGCGTAGTAGCGTTTCAAGAATTTCCCATTGATAGGGCCAATCTTGACTCTATCCTCCGAAATCAACTTATACGCACCATTGGTGTAGACCTCCGTGATGACATATGGTCCATCTCATCTTGACACGAACTTGTTTCCAACACGATGAGTGGTTATGATAGGTCTTCTCACAGCATGTACCAGATCTCCTACTTGAAAATAACGAGCTCGGACCTTCTTGTTGAACGACTTTGAAAGGCGAGCTTAATAACATTCAAGTCTTTGTTGCGCTTCCAACCTTCTCTCATCAAGAGCTTCTAATTCCTGAAGGCGCAGTCGTGCATTATCTTCCTTGGTCAATCCTTCTTGTATGGCGATCCTCAAAGATGGAATTTGTTGCTCGAGGTGAACGACAGCTTCAACACCATATACCAACGAGTACGTAGTCGCTTGAGTGGGAGTCCGATAGGTGGTGTGATACGCCCAAAGTGCTTCATGAATTCTTTCGTGCCAATTCCTCTTTGACTTGGCTACGACTTTCTTCAAAAGACTACAAAGAGTCTTATTGAATGCTTCAGCAAGTCCATTGACCGGTGCATTGTACATAGAAAATTTTCTTTGCTTAAAGTTCAACTTCTCACAAAGCTTATCAATCAAACTGTTGCTGAAAGGCTTCCCATTATCCGTTTATGTACCGGGGAATTCCACACCGGTAGATGATGTTTATACGAATGAAGTCAGCAACATTTTCTTTCTTCACTTCTTTCAAGGGAACCGCTTCAGCCCATTTTGAGAAGTAGTCAGTCGCAGCCAAAATATAAAGATGACCACCTGAAGACTTTGTGAGAGGACCGACCACATCTAATCCCCAAGCATCAAAAGGCCATGAAGCGACAGTAGTGTGCAATGGCTCAGGAGGCTGATGAATCAAATTTGATTGAAATTGACACGCTTGACATCTTTGGGCATAATCCATGCAGTCTCTAACCATTGTCAGCCAGTAGTATCCCATTCTCTTAATTCGAAGGTGTAGCTTCGGACCAGACTGATGAGCGCCACAAATCCCCGAGTGAGCTTCTTCGATTGCTTGAGTAGCTTTGTCGTCGCCTAATCATCTCAAGAATAATCCGTCGAACGATCGTTTATATAACACATTATTAAAATAGATGAAGCGAGGCGCACGACGTCGAACATCAACCCTTTGTCGTGGATCGTTGGGCAACTTGTCATACTTCAAGTAATCCACGAGCAATTGACGCCAATCTTCCTTTTCAATTTCAAATACTCCAACCACATGAATTTCATCTTCATTCCAATCATCATCGTTGAAAATCGGAGGTATAACCCAACTTCTACAAATTTGCACTCGAGCCCTATCCTCGGGGAGAATGAGTGAAGAAGTTAGTTTTGCCAAAGCATCAGCTTGTTTATTATTCTTTCTCGACCACATGTTCGATCGTAACATCTCCAAGCCATCCCATGAGCCTTTTCGCATAGTCGACATACGGGAGCAACTCAGGCTTCTTTACATCGTATTCTCCAAGCAGTTCGTTCACCACTAGCTTTGAATCACCATAGACTTTCAGATGTAGTTGCTTCATGTCCACGACCATCTCCAACCCCAGAATTAGAGCTTGATACTCTGCAACATTGTTTGAGCAATTTTTAGTCAAAGTGAAGGAATACGGAAGCACCTCTCCATGGGATGTCACAAAGACGACTCCAGCACCAGCTCCTTCTCTATGGGACGCTCCATCAAAGTACATCTTCCAAGGTAGAGTAATTTAAATGAGAAGAACGTCTTCATCGGGTAGTTCATCGGATAACACCCATTCAGCAGGAAGAGGGTGATCAGCTAGGAAGTCCACCAAAACTTGTCCTTTTACAGCCTTTTAAGGGATGTAGACAATTTCAAACTGTTGAAGTTGAAGATACCACCTAGCTAAACGGTCTGAGAGGACGGGTCTTGTCATGACATATTTCAATGGATTTGCCCGTGAAACAAGACAAACCGTATGAGCTTGAAAATAATGCTTCAACTTCTGAATTGCAAACATTAGTGCCAAATATATTTTCTCGATCGGTGAATAGTTCAGCTCGTTCGGCGTCATTGTTCTGCTCAAATAATATAACACACTCTCCTTTCCATTATCATTTTCTTGAGCCAGCAAAGCTCCAACAGAATGTTCTTGTGCTGCTATGTAAAGAATAAGAGGATGACCAGACACTGGTGCGACTAACACGGGAGACTTCATCAGATATGCCTTCATGCTTTCGAAAGCATTTGTACAAGATTGATCCCACTCAAAAGGAACACCTTTCTTCATCAGATGACTAAAAGGTTGGCATCGTCCGGCTAGATTTGAGATGAACCTTCGAAGATATGCCAACTTCCCTTGTAGACTTTAAGCTCGTGAATGTTGCGAGGCTCGGGCATTATTAGTATTGCGTCAACTTTTGCTTGCTCGATCTCTATTCCACAGTGACGAACAATGAACCCAAGAAACTTCCCCGACTTGACACCAAATGCACACTTCAATGGATTCATCTTGAGTTGATATCTTCTTAGGCGTTCAAAAACCATCCTCAAGTCTTGTAGGTGGTCTTCTCGTTTTTTCGACTTCACCACCACATCATCAACATAGCCCTTGATTTTCTTATGGAGTATGTCATCAAATATCTTTTGCATTGACCTTTGATATGTTGCTCCAGCGTTCTTCAAGTCGGATGGCATCACCTTATAGCAGTATATACCCTTTGGAGTGCGAAATGCCGTTAACTCTTCGTCTTTTGGCGACATGCGTATTTGGTTGTATCTCGACGAACCATCCATAAAAGACAACGCTTCATGACCAGTCGTAGCATCGATCATAAGTTCGGTTATAGGCAACGAGAAATCATCTTTGGGACACGCCTCGTTAAGATATCGAAAATCCACATAAACTCGAATTTGGCCATTTTTCTTCCTGACAGGAACGATGCTCGAGATCCACGTAGGATATTTAACTTCACGAATGAATCTAACTTCAATGAGTTTATTTACTTCAACCTCGATCAATGGGATCAACTCAGGTCGGAGTCTTCGTTGTGCTTGTTTAACAGGTTTTGCCCCCTTTCTCACGGACAAGTTATGCACCGCCACCTTTGGGTCTAGTCCAGGCATCTCCTTATACGACCATGCGAATACATCCTTAAACTCACCAAGAAGCTCTATGTAGGCCTTTTCTTCATCTACAGTTAGCAAGACACTGATGTACGTCGGGCAAGGATCGTCAACATCACCCAAGTTGATTTCTTTTAGTTCAGCCTTAACACCTTCTTCAAGCTCGGGAGGTACGTCTTCAGCATCTTCCTCCTCTATTGGAGCATTCTTGCATATAGAGATATGGTTCACAATAAATGCTCTCACCCGTCCATTTCTTCCCGTGACAAGTCGTGTCTGCACATTTTCATCAACCCTAGTGATATACCCTTTTCTCACCAAATAAGCTGTCTTTCGATAAAGAGAATGTTCATCATTTCGAGGAGTTGTGAGAGTACCGCAAGCATAGTAAGACGAAGCGACACTTTCTCTATCATTATCTTCATCGTCCAGTACTCTTGTATGAATGATCGTGTGCATTTTTGCTTTTAAAACTTCACCACGTGATATAATCACGGTAGTTTGATGTTTCATTCATGAGGGAATTAGACTTCTAAGCTTTGGACCCGGACCCGCACCTCTTTCTTGTCTTAAAGGCTTTGACTGCTTGGAGGATCCAAGTCGTTGAAACACAGAATGTTTGCCTTTTGACTTTTGCATCGGACCGAGTCTTTGAAACACCGACACTCTTTTCTCTTTCTTTTCGTCGTCAAAAAACAAGAAATCTCCTTCCGAGACATGATTTGCGTTTGCTCTCTTGATGGCGATTCTAATTGGGCTCGGTACCACATAACCAAGACCTTCCCGGTTGTGCTTTTGTTTTTGAGGTATAAGCTTTCCCAAAGAGCGACTTTCATTGGGGTTATATCCTGCTTTGACGAGAAGCCTGTAGGCTTTGGATCAAAACACTTCGAGTTCTTCAATCCCTCACCATGCTCCGTCACGGCTTCGTTGCTTGGACGAACAAACTTCGTAGGTGGTTGGGAGATAGGCTTCCCATGATTTATCTTCGATAGCGGCAACACTAACTCTTTCAAAGCGTTTTCTATCTTTTCAATCCTTGGCTCTTCACTCTCAAACCCTTTCTGCTGCTTAGACAAGACTTTCTCAATTGGTTTTGTATCCTTGAAATAGTATTTGGCATCAGCAAAATGAGTTTCAGCCTCCGTAAAAGGTTTATCATCTCCAAGCACGGTCTTCACAACGCTATTTTTGCAATATTTGAAGCATTGATGCCATGTTGACGGAACCACGCCATTCTCATGAAGCTATGGACGACCAAGAAGCATGTTGTAAGAAGTCTTTGCATCAATAACGTGGAACATTGCGGTTGATTCCATATCTTCCATCAACAACTCCAACCTTATGATGCCAAGAGCTCTTTGTCCTCCTTGGTTAAAGCCTTGAATCATCAGTTGACTATTGCCAAGTTCTTCCGTAGTCATGCCGAACTCTTTCAGCGTGCGAAGAGGCAAGATGTTGACTGCTGATCCTCCATCAATCAATATTCGATTAACCTTTTGCTCTTGGACATAACCGGCCACGAACAACGGTCTGTTGTGAGGCTTAGAACCAAGCAGCAGATCTTCATCAGTAAAGACCGTCATGGAAACATTACCAACATGGGAATTTTCAACCTCAGGCAGATTGTTTTCTTCTAGAGAAGCTCCGTGATCATTCGTCATGTTGCAAGCTTCGCTTATATGATTAGCAGTTGCACTACTTTCTTCAAGAGAGATTTTTCCTTGGTGTGTCAACTGCATAACCTTGTCCTTGAATACGAAGCAATCATGAATTGGATGTCCTACGAGACGATGGTATTTGCAATATTTTGGGTCGTTCACCTTACCGGCTTCTTCAGGACGCTTCATCTCGGGTAACTCAATAAGCTTCGCTTCCATTAGATCGTCAAATATGCCAGAGACGTTTGAATTAAGGAACGGGTACTGTTTTGCTTGCATTTCTTTTAAAGTCAACCTTCTTTGTTCAATTTCCTTGGGGACATCCTTCTTTTCAACGGTTTTATCAGTGGCTTTTCTTTTGAACTCGAAAGTCATAGCATTGATCGTCATGGACTCCTTATTTTGAGATTTTGAGAAAAAATTTGCCCCCTTTCCTTTGCTTGTATCTATCCTTGGAGCTTTGGGGTTCTTGGATTGGAGGACCATTAGTTTCGCTTTTGGCCATGCTTAGCTCCATGTTGTGGGCTCGAGTCGCTAACTCTTCAAATGTTTTCGGCCGAATACCTTGAAGGATGTAACGAAGACCTCGACTCATACCTTGAATGCACATCTCAATGGCAGAAGCCTCAGACAGACGATCTTTGCAATTCAGACTTAAATTCCTTCACCTATTGATGTAGTCGATGGCTGGCTCTTCCTTCCATTGTCGAGATGTAGTGAGCTCGATCATGCTGACTGTACGTCTTGTACTGTAAAAGCGACTAAGGAATTCATGCTTGATCCCAACTATTGATTGAGTTTGCTTCCAGGTCAGTGTACCAGTCGAATGCAACCCCTTTAAGTGAACGAACAAACTGCTTCACGATATAATCACCATGGGTTCCCGCATCGTTGCATGTCTCAATAAAGTGGGCTATATGTTGCTTCGGGTTGCCTTTGCCATCAAACTGCTGGAACTTGGGAGGTTGATATCCGACAGGCATACTTAAGTTATCGATCCTTGGCGTATATGGCTTAACGTAGTTGTGGTGTAACACCCCGCCAGCTTATTAAAATCAGAGTGTGATTTTCGCAAATCCTTTTCTAAAGTTTACGTTTTAATTTGCGAAACATATATTGGGATGCTACATAAAACATTTCTTTTCTAGAAATCCGTTAACTTTATTTATTTTAAATTTACTTATGAAAACGGATTGTCATTTATAAAACAAGCGTGTGATATCATATGAAATCTGACCCGAAGACTCGGATCGTAGTCTGAAAATTTACATGCTAACTTCAAAATCTGGAAACGTCAGCGGAAGTAAAAACGTGGCAAATAATATATATATAATAAGTCTGCAAAAGTATAATTACATATTTACAACACTGGCGACCACCCGCTCCGCTCACTCCTCCAGACCGACCCTGTCACCTGAAAAAGGGATCATAATAGTGGGAGCGTGAGTACTAAAACACTGTA